TTAACTATGTTTACCATACACTGTAAAGATAAGTTTAAACGGTTGCAAGACTAATTGTTGCCCTTTTGTTCACTCACCCTGTATACTTACAATGGCGGCATTTCCTAACTGTGCATATATTATAAACACTATGGGGATCACAAGGAGAGGGAGGGGAATTAGGGGCGGCCCAATGAAGGATTTCTTGAAAGTGCTTTTCTAATATGTTTAATATATATATATATATAGGCATGCAATAAATCAGAATACGAGTTAAACAAACTTTGGCATATCTCTCTTCTGAACAGACTGTTTCGTACCATAAGGCACTCATCAGCAGAATGACGAAAAAATAGAATACAAGTAGCATCTTACCTTATTTCGAATCAAGCGCGCGCACGCGTTACGCGCGTTACGTCATTGAAGTTAGTACGCGTTTACGTCACTGAAGTAAGAACACATCTGTCTCGATGCCTGCACTTGGAGACGATTTCGCTTCTCTTATTCAGTGTACCTAGATCTGGCCTACATATGATTATGTACTTCTCTGCTATACACAAATTGCATCTCTTGTTTACGTTAGAGTATGGCAGTGCTTTCAGAACAATGTCCCATTTGATTTCATAGTCTTTCCCTTCGTCCTTTAAGTCCACCAGGCCACCGTCACGAGCGAAGGCAGGAAGGAGGCATACGTCGGGCTGACGTCCACAACCTTCAAGGCGAGACTGGCGAACCACAAGCAGTCATTCAGATCCGAGAGCAAGAGGGCGCAAACAGAGCTAAGTAAACATATATGGGACTTAAAGGACGAAGGGAAAGACTATGAAATCAAATGGGACATTGTTCTGAAAGCACTGCCATACTCTAACGTAAACAAGAGATGCAATTTGTGTATAGCAGAGAAGTACATAATCATATGTAGGCCAGATCTAGGTACACTGAATAAGAGAAGCGAAATCGTCTCCAAGTGCAGGCATCGAGACAGATGTGTTCTTACTTCAGTGACGTAAACGCGTACTAACTTCAATGACGTAACGCGCGTAACGCGTGCGCGCGCTTGATTCGAAATAAGGTAAGATGCTACTTGTATTCTATTTTTTCGTCATTCTGCTGATGAGTGCCTTATGGTACGAAACAGTCTGTTCAGAAGAGAGATATGCCAAAGTTTGTTTAACTCGTATTCTGATTTATTGCATGATTATAGCTCTACAGAGATGTATCGAGCACTGTGAATTGTGATAGAAGACGATTTCATTGTATATATATATAGGCATATAAACATAAAAATGTGCACAGAATATACGTCCATTCAGGCGCGGTTCTAGAACCAATATTTAGGGGGGGGGGCTAGCACGGTGGATCCAGAACTTTTTCAGGGAGGCGTACTGAAATGTTGACCGTTTATTTTTTCCAGACACTTAGGCCTCCGAAAATCAATAGGTGGGGAGGGGGGGGGGGGGGGGTCATGCCATATTTTCAATGGGGAGCGCCAATAAAATCCTAAAATCATTCACGCTATATTAACTAATGTACCCTTGTCACAGCTATTTCTTCTTTAGGGGAGACCGTTCGCATGTACATCACAATCCTTCTTTATGCTAATGCAATTTTTTTTTTACGGAATTTATTTTTTGGGGGGCTAGACAAAATTTGGGGGGCTACAGCCCCCCTAGCCCCCCCCCCCCCGGTAGAACCGCGCCTGCGTCCATTCCTTGCAGTGTGTACTGTTGGATTTACATTAGATGGATGTTGGGATTTGGGGGAGTAATGTGTTACTGACTGAAAAGGAAGGAATAATGTTGGGTTTTTTCGAGAAATTATGTAACTTCTTAAATAATGCGTTAGCAATGTCCAGTTTGCTGACGTCACGATCCTAAAACCTCACGAAGTCATTATGTTTTTCTATATAATATCTAAGGGTAAGTTTGGTAAAATTTGGATGAATGGTTTTTAAATTAAAAATAGTCTAACTTTCTTGGACGTGCTAGGGGGTGCCCTTTCAGGCGTTTTTATGCCCCGCGGCGAAGCCGAAGGGGCATACTGTTTCCGCCTTGTCCTTCCGTGGGTGGGTGGGTGTGTGAGTTTGTCTTACATTCCCTATGTGGACTTGTGAACAAAAGATGTCCACATAATGCAGGTTGTGTTAACGTTATGTGGACTAAGCCGTGTCCACATAACGTTTTGCCCTTTCTGGAAAACAGGTTTAGAGGCATTTTTGGGTTAGGTTTATCCGTAGCAGAATGAAGAGAAACACTATAGGGAATCATAGAAACAAATTGGGTTGAAAGAGTTTTCACAGTTTAAGTAAAGTTATTTTTTGTACCGAGTTTTCTTAACTACACGAAAACAAAGGAATGTCCACACAAGGTATGTAACGTAAACCTGGGTGTGTGTGTGTGTCCGGACAAATCTTGTCAGCGTGATAACTTGAGATATACTTTACATGTGAACTTCAAATTTGGTTTGTGGATTGTCCTTGGTAATCCTAAAAAACCTATTGCATTTGGGGCCGAAAGGTCAAGGGTCAAGGTCACAGTGACTAAAACAAAAGAAATTTTGTCAGCGCGATAACTTGAGAAATACTTTACATATGAACTTCAAATTTGGTTTGTGTATTTTTCTTGGTAATCCTAAAAAGCCTATTGCATTTGGGGCCGAAAGGTCAAGGGTCAAGGTCACGGTGGCTAAAACAACAGAAATTTTGTCAGCGTAATAACTTGAGATATACTTTACATATGAACTTCAAATTTGGTTTGTAGATTGTCCTTGGCAATCCTAAGAAGCTTTTTGCATTTGGGGCCAAAAGGTCAAGGGTCAAGGTCACAGTGGCTAAAACAAAAGAAATTTTGTCAGCGCGATAACTTGAGAAATACTTTACATGTGAACTTCAAATTTGGTTTGTGGATCGTTCTTGGTCATAGGCCTATCGCATTGGGGGTCGAAGGGTCAAGGGTCAAGGTCACAGTGGCTAAAACAATAGAAATCTTGTATTTATTCTGAGATCATAGGGTTTAGGGATTAATTCATATAAAACCTACACGAACGTGTTTGCTTAATTTTCATTCATACAGATGCGAGTAAATGCTTCAAAATTGGAAGTACCAGTAAAAGCAAATGCCATGTTTTATTCATACGAACATGGTATCATTTGTACTTTATGAACTTTGTTAATATTAATTTTTCGCGATTAACATATAATAAATGCTGTAGCTTTTGCGCAGAATTATTTGCTTTATAATTTCAAGGTTGCCCCAACCCAGCCTTGTGAATGACAAGTGCATATTTGAAATCTGAAGCATTTACTCCTTTATATTCATACGAAACGTACAGATGGGAGTAATGCAAATGCCAGTTTCCATTCATACGAACTACCGTATGGTATTATTTGTACTTTTTCGTGATTAACATTAATAAATGCAGTAATTTTTGCGCAGTAGTATTTTACTTTATAATTTCAAGGTTGCCCTAACCCAGCCTTGTAAATGACAAGTGCATATTTGAAATCTGAAACATTTACTCCTTTATATTCATACGAAACGAAGTAAACGATAAATAATTTTTTTCTGGTAATGAAACCAAGGATCCTCAAAAGTGCATGCCCCAGGCACTGTAGCTCGCAAACCCCGAAAAAAAAACGAAGAGAGAAGACAATGAGAAGAAATTACAGTTTTAGAGGTGGGAGGAAAACCCCAGAAGAATAGTCTGGGGAAAACCCACGGAATCAGGTAGGGACTGAAAATCCAATCCACATGTAGACCATGGGTGCCGATGCACAGCGCATTGAGCGCGTAAACGACATTGCGTTCGTCGCGTTTGATGCGCTTTTTTTGTATCTGTCCTCCAGCACGTGACCCTCCCCGGTGCCGCTTTCCGTTTCGGTTATGATAGTTTTATTTTCTGCAAACTTATAAACATGTAAAGCTTTACATTTTGCAGGCCATTTACTCAAGAGCAAATGGTTTTTAGTAAAAGTGTTTGCTTAATTTTCATTCATACTGATGCGAGTAAATGCTTCGAAAGTGGTAGAAAAAGCATATGCCATGCTTTATTCATACAAACATATGGTATCATTTGTACTTTATGAACTTTAATAAATGCAGTAGTTTTTGCGCAGAATTATTTTGCTTTATAATTTCAAGGTTGCCCCAACCCAGCCTTGTAAATGACAAGTGCATATTTGAAATCTGAAGCATTTACTCCTTTTTATTCATACAAAACGAAGAAAACGATTATTAGGCCAAAAAAGGCTCTGGTTTCTGGTATGCGCGCGCGTCCCCATAGCCATGCGCGTCGGCAATGTAAGATGATGTCTTTCAATGTAAGATGATGTCTCAAACCACCAAACTCACTGGTTCGACTGGAATCCTGCTGCTGCACAATTTTAACGTGTTATTTCTCATAAAGTTATTTCTCATGTCTAAGTTTATTTCAAGCATGAAGAACAAAGGAAAATGGATGTTAAATACAGTTTTTCTGAGTTTTTTATTTTTTGCACTCCCCTTTTTTGAAAAATCAAGCTCCGCCCCCCAAAATTGTGCAAGATCCAAGATGTGTTCACCTCTTAAAATTATTTTCAGCCCATTTTAACTAGACCTGCCAATTTTCAGGATTTTACTACCAAACCGAATAATATTTTCTATATTAAACCCAAACTGCTAATATATACCGCCTCTTTTGTACATTTAGGCCACGCCTACCAAAATGGGTGGACATTAACTGGTGTTCGAAAGCTAGAATGTTATATTTTATGTCTAAGTTTATTTCAAACCATAGAAAAACAGGGAAAATGGATGTTAAATACAGTTTTCATGAGTTTGTATTGTTTGCACCCCCTTTTAAAAAAAATCAAGCTCCGCCCCCAAAATGGGCAAGATCCAGGATGGGTCCCGATCTTAAAATGAATTCTAGCCCATTGGGACCCCACCTGCCAAATTTCATGCTTTTACCACAAAGTGCACGATTTGGGCCAAAAATGGACCTAAGCAGCTCCACTATACCGCCTATACAAGGAGATAGGGTAGTATAGACTACCCTTGGCACGATTGCCATAAAGCTTGGGCTTACTGGGTTATTCTGCATTACAGTCTATTTTCGTAGTAGAGGCATATTGGTCGCAATGTACGCCAGTATCGTTTTCGCGCCGTTAGGCCTACTCCTGTGCACAGTGGTCCATGCTACTGTCAATGTAAACGTAGGCATGCTACACCTGTCGAGTTTTGAGAAGGAGCCCTTGGTAAGCAAGTACTACCTTTTGCCGGCGGCTCAGATCGCCTTCGAAACCGTCGCAAAACGTCTGGAAAGGGGTGTGTACAAGAACTTCAGCATGACGCACGTAAGCACTAATGAATGTTGTACACGCCCAGTGCGATCTACTGGGGCCCTGGCATCTTCGATGTACCACGATGACGGCGTGGATGCCTTCCTGGGGCCGGCTGTTAGCCCCGATATGGCTGCTGTAGCTGACATGGCCGCCTACTGGAATCTTCCGGTCTTGGCCGGGGCAGCCACTTCCACGCTCCTGGATAACAAGACGCGGTTCCCGACCCTGACTCGCACGGGTCCGTGCGTGGAGCTCATGGTGCAGTTCATGACTGCCGTGCTTCGTCATCTCGGTTTGACCAGCTGTGCCATACTCCGCGGACTGCCGATAGATATTGTGTACTACCGCTACGTTCTCCCAGACGCCGTGTTCGCAGGCCTGGAGAGAAATGGAATAACCGTGGTCGAGGTGTACGCTGATCAATTTGACACTTTGGATAAAGCTCTGGAGAAAGTTGCTTCCGTCTCTAAGGGTGAGTACGGCATGACTCAAGTGTAGCCTATTCACTTAAAGTGGTTTATTAATAGCCCCTAATCACATCGTAAAATTAAAGGATATGGTGGCCGCATAATGCCAATCCATAACACCCCCTTCCTTAAGACAAGGAGCAGTCGGTGCGAATTGTTGTTGCTGTTGAACTATCGCCTAATTGTGGTCTGTTACATAGGTAATCGTTAATACTTAACTTTTAGAAACAATTCAGCAAAGAACGCTTTAACACTAGAACAGATCTAAAACAGCTGTTAACCTTTAACACAGCTTATATTAGAAACAATTTAAGCTTTAAACAGCTTTAACAAGTAACAAACCTTAACAAGTATAGTGCAGGTGAGTAGTCTTTCTAAACCAGTGTTGGCCTATGTTCTTAGGCTTTATCAATGAGCAACCGAAAGTCAGATTTATTTTTTAATGAGTCTCTTTAATCGGTCTGGGAACTCGACAGAATCTGCTGGTGGTAGCGTTAGTGATCAGTCCTGAAGGTTTGTCTGTGGGAGTGGGAGGCACATCTTGTGCCTAATAGCGACTGGACAGGCGGCACTCGGACTGGCTAGCTCGGTGCTAGCTATTTTGTGGTGTGAGCCGAGGTGATACTCACATGTGACTGGTGTTGGAGGTGATTTTGCGTTCTCCCGACTCTGAGGTGTATAGGTTGCGTCTGCAGCATTATTTTGCTACCGACTTCGACGATATAGCTGCGGTTGTCCACGGGGACCCTAGCTTCTACGTTGGATCGAGTTTTGGCGCGAACGTGCTGTCTGATAACTAGATCAGGGAGGCTTTTGGCAGTACGGTCGTGATACAGTAAATTGTATTGACTCACGCAGCGGACGGGCAGGGATGCTTTTGCCATCCTACATTTATATAAACCAGCCTGCCTCTAAGCACTCTATCTATACCACGGTCTATAATTGCTTGCCAACTTTCTCAGCGTGCATTGTATACATGTATGTATAGTCTGTTGTTCAATTGACGTTGTCAATTATGCCGGAAATTCCGCGTGAAATGCACAGTCTTCATCGTTCGCTGACACAGCCTACCGTGTTTGACAGGATCAGTCTGTACTGCCGACGGATGCCTGGTGATGTCCCCAACATCTTACAAGGGTCGGGGGGGGGGCGTAGCACGGTCATTTTTATTGGGGGGGGGGTTAACATTTTTTGAAAAGGGCACTTGCACATCCGTTGTGAAATGTAGACAGGTTTTTTCTCCAGACACTTGGTCTCCGTAAAACCAAAAAAAAAAAAGGGGGGGGGGGGCAGGTACCATCTGTCGATGGGGGCGCTGTTCAAAACCGACAATTATGCACACAAAAGGCCAATATATGGTGCTTTTCAGGGCGATACATTTGCGAAATTCTGAAAAAGGCAACCAAAACGGCAGATGCCACTAAAAAGGGCACCACCTCTTTTTCAAAAGGGCACTTGTTCAGAAAAAAGGGCACTCTTTACAAATTATTGGGGGGGGGGGGTAAACCCGTTGAAAAAAGGGCATTTTTGTATCAATTTTTTGCTCAAATTTGTATCCTTGTGGAGACTCAAATTTGTATCCTTGTGGAGACATTTCTTTGTTCTCGTGTAGTAAAGTTTTCAATTCTGAAAGTGAAGTTTCAAAATGCTCTTATTTTAACCAGAATTAATTTCCTTGGCTGAAATTCGGACTAAATATCCCTTTTCTAAAACCCTTCCATTTGCGACAAATCAACCCACCTTGGAAATTCCTTGTTTTTGAGTAAAATCCATATATCTATTTCGTGAAAACCTTGTGGAGACCTATTCATCTATAGAAATTGCCTTGTGGAGACCTTTACAATGTTTTGTTTCCTATTGTGTGCGTGTCTCCACAAGGATACAAATTTAAGCACACCACTAAACACGCAGCAACTCTTCAGTATACACGAACTCCTTGTTCCCACGTACCATCCGGGACTGGAACAGCCTTGCGGTAGACACAGCGAAGTACAAATCCCTCAACGCCTTCAAGCTTTAATTGCGCTGAGGGATCATTCACTGAAGTAGTCATCACAACGACCTTTTTACTTGCACATCTGTCCATGTACATGCACTTCTTGCTTAGACCCATGCGCAAAACACAGTGCATTGATCCTCGTACATAATGCTGCGCTTACAAGGAAGAAAGGACGAAAGATTGCTGAGGAGTTGGCCGGGCCTTTGCGGAAACGGTGGTGGATTCAGCTAGTTTCTGACACCACGCTCTTAATAAGACAGGACTCGAGTGTAGCATTTACTGAAAGTGGTTTATTAATAGCCCGTAATATAATCACATCGTACAACAGGGATACGGTGGCCGCATTATGCCACTCCATAACAAGTATAATGGGCAGGTACACCCGAGGTATATGAATTCAAACAACAAAATTGATTTGGTGTATGGGTATATGCGAAGACATAAATCTTGCAGAACCCACCCCCCCCCCCCCAAAAAAAAAACAAATAAAATAAAATAAAATAAAAATTTTTAAAAAAAAAAAGTGAAAAACTACACTGCGATATGACGCACGGTTTGTACGTTTTTTGCCCGGCCAGAAAAGGCTGACATTGGCCTATTTTTCACACACTGATCGATTGATTGACCGACTCACTCAATTAATGACGCTGTTTGACGCATATTGACGTATTGACTGAAATACTGATTGACTCACCGAAGCACCATTTTCCCTTGCCGATTGACTGACTGACTTACTGACTCAATCACCCAATGACACTGACTCACTATGACACACTGGTTTAATAATGGCATAAACTGAGACTTTAGAGTTAAGCTCTGCTATACAGGCAGACCTAGTCTCTTGTTTGTCAAGATACAATGTTGAATGGAAAACAAAAACAGAAAAAAAGCATTCTGATGATATTCATCTCCGAATTGGGTGTTCCTTTTTTTCTACATGTACATGTAGTTATCTTCATTAGTACCTCCCCGGTACGTGACATAATGGTCCGAGCTCATCATCTGGGTCTCACTCGGGGCTCGCATGTGTTTCTAAACTGGATCCCGTTCGAGTACTCGCCATGGCAGACGAGCAGCCAGGTTAGTTATTTTTTTTAAACAAAATGGATAAAAATGTTAACCGAATCATCATTATTATTTGAACCGACGGATGCCTTCCTTGGCAAGTGCTACATTGTAAAAATGTCAAGCTAGTTTGATGTAGAGTGTTGTCTGCGCTTGTGTATGGTGTAAATCGAGGGCACATACGTGCAACATCATCGATGAATTGAGGACAAGAACCAAATAGAGGACTCTTCGGTTGGAAAACTTGTACGAAACCAATGAGAGCTATTGCCAAAAAGTTAGAGTATAAACAAAGGAAAAGGAGAGAGAGGAACAGTACAAAATCCTCGATTTACACCATAAACAACCGGAGCTGTGTGTGTACATGTACAGAGTTGTTTATGGGGTAGAAAACACAATAGAACAATAGACCCCATAACGAAGTCTTTAAAAATATATCTGCTCCATAAGGGAAACGCCATACAGTTTGATATTTCAATAGGATAACGGACAACAAAAGAAGGGAATTCGAAAACAATTAAAGGTCTGTTGCCAACCACCGCTTAATATTGGCCCTCGTGGCAGTCCATACAAACATATTAGACTGTAAGAATACCGTGGTATACTCGACTACAAACTACGGTTTTGCTACAGTATAAACATCAGAAAACCATGGCTAGGCACCATGGTCATACCATGGTACCACAGTTATTGGTATACCGTTGGCAATTTACCACGGGATGTACCATGGTGTAACCGCTAAGTTTTATACAGGTACAATAACGTCACTCCGTTAATTCTATCTGAACGTCTTTCAGTTCGAAAACAACGATGCGGAGACAGTTGAAGCACTGAAGGCGTTGTTGATGATGCGGTACCATGTTCCTGATATTCCCGTGTACCATGCGTTCCAGAGTGAGTTGAAAGATCGCCAACTGAGCTTATACGGACGTGAAGGCAGTGGGGTATGTGGAACTTTTACTTGTGGGTCTATGCAGGATGGCCCGAAACAAAACGGAGCGGCATGCTTCCACTACTCTGAGACTAAAACCCCCTTTACCAATGTATGGAGAATCTTTTAAGAAGAAATATGATATTACGATATCCCGATTTGGTCAAGAAGTTTTTGCTGCAGGGCCTATTTTGTGAAACACACGTCTTTCATGTGGGTATTATTACATAACAATTAATCCCTTCATCAATGAGTAATTCGTGGGCGCGGTTTAGTGACTTTCTGGGACAAAATGACCCCGACTTTGTTTCACAAAAGGCTCAAGAACAAATAAATACTGGACCGAATCATGCGATCTTGGTATCATCTTTCCCCATGCATTGGTATAGGCTGTTTGACTCTCAGGTAGCGGAACTTAGCCGTTCAGGGAGCACTCTGTAACAGTATAGTGAACTCTTGGTGGCAGCAGACATGCACTCTTTTTCAAAAAAAGGTTCCATGTCTTGGATTTTTCACTGGAAACTAAATTATATATTTTACAAAGAAGATGGCACACGCATAATTAAGTTCTGTTTTGTGGCCAACTTATATCCATATATCAGTTAAATGTCCCAATCGATATACTGATCATTATCATAATACTGATCATGATACTGATCATTATATAAAGCAAATCATACTTTGCAAATTAACTTATTTTTCAAGGAAAATCTGTATGCTGCTGCGACCCACGATGCTGTTCTGATTTACGCCGATGTGATCAATGAAATCGTGGCCGAGGGTGGCGACGTAAGGGATGGACGAGCAGTGACAAAGAAAATGTGGGACAGAACATTCCAAGGTATATGTATTTATCGATCGACTGTGGGCAGATGAGCCGACGATCGATTTTTCTTACTGCTAGAATTGTAAAGTCGAATTAAGTAGAAGATGTATAATTTCCTTGTTCCTAAACGATTTGGATTATAGTTGGTACCTTAGGAAGACTTCGTGTAGTCTATGTTTGTTATCAGGGAGACGTTGGTCATTATGGAGACATTTTAGTATGTTTCTGATGTTTTAACTTCCATTTATAGAACAAATTTCAGTGTCACAAAATGCTTAAATAATTCTTAAGGCTGGAAAAGGTATAGCTCATAAGTTTTGGCAGGGGGAGTATTTTCTAATATCTCCACTGGAAAGTTTTTGTTTGTTTTTATCAGTGCACAATTCTATGGGACTGCTCCCTAGTGTACACCTTCCGGGCATTCATATTACAACATTAAATGGTACCGCATATAAATCGTACATTTTAAAGTAACGAATTCCATAACTAAACTTGGGCCGATTGTTTTCGTTCGATGTCACATTCAAAACTCAAAAACTTTTGCATTGGTGAAAAATTACAATCTAAATACAAAATATGTTCAAATAAATAGGTTATTGTGGTTGTTTTAATAGTGCATAAATGTTTGGTATCTTTTTTATCAAGGTAGATTTAAATATTGAGGTTCACCCACGGTCCTGTGACTGACTGAGCAAAAATAATTTACCAAACTGAATGATCAGCAACTAAACCAAATACAGTTCCGGTACACTTGGAAAGCCTACTTTGGTTTGGTTACATACATCAGTAGATTGCAGTTAATCATTAGACTCTCACCCCAGACTTTTTGTGAATGTTAAGATATATGTATAATATATCCTCCTCTGATTTGCCGTTATCGCAATGCAGGTGTAACTGGGCAAATTCGTATCGGCGCTAATGGGGATCGCCTTGAAGTGTGTGAACTACTGGATATGACAGACACCAACAAGGGAACATTCGATGTAAGTTTGAAGTATCTTTGTATGACAAACCGATTTGTTGGGCTGTTCCCAGACTGGCCTGTCTGTGTTTCCTTTGTATCTACCTGACTGACTGGCCGACCGACCGACCGACCGACCGGACGACCAACCGATCGACCGACCTACCTGGTTTCGAATCGGACTGGCTACCTACATGTATCGTACTTAATACGTATCTCACTTACTGAGTGTGACTTGTAAGTTAGACTGGTTACCTATCTCTCTTACTATAACTGTCACTTGTGAATTGGACTGGTTACCTATCTTACTTACTGACCGTCACTTATGAATTTGACTGGTTACCTATCTCACTTACTGACTGTCACTTAACTGGTTACCAATCTTACATACCGACTGTCACTTGTGAATTGCACTGTTTAGGCCTACCTATCTTCCTTGCTGACCGTCACTTGTGAATTGCACTGGTTACCTATCTCACTTACTGACAGTGACTTGTGAATTGGACTTGTAACTTATCTCACTTACTGACAGTGACTTGTGAATTGGACTGATTACCTATCTCACTTACTGACTGTCACTTGTTGAGTGATATCTATCACCGTACCACTAAAACTTATTCTTTGAATTTCCTTTAGCATGTTATGTCACCTGAATAGAATTATGTGCACTCGGGACCAGCTTTTCTAGGCTTGCCTTGTTTTGTTTTATATAACAAACATGATCAAAGACTTCAGGGACATCCTTTGAAATTTGTTGTTCCAGTCCATCCCGGGAACGCGGCATGTGTTTTTAGTCCCTACCTGGTTCAATATATAGGCCATCAGCCTCGGTCCAAAATTTTGGCCAGCGGTATCAAATGAGGGGAATAATCGTCATAGCGATTTTTGGCAAGGTATACACCTTCGGAGTTGGAAAATATGTGATAGCATTGCAGCGGTGGCAGCTTTTTAGGTGTTATCACCCTTTTTTTCAAAATGTCCATCAAAATGCTTGTTACCACTCTAGGGGCGGTATACCTTGCGCATGCTCATTATAATCATGTATGCCCTGATTTGATACTAACCAAACCCCAGGCTGATGGCCTAATACATTACTAATACATTGCCGTAAAAGTTGGCAGCCTAGTAATTCTGAACAAACCCCAAGCGCACGGGGGTTTTGTGCACAAACCTTATCAGACGGCGTATCACGCTCAATTGACTTCGACAAAAACCGCAAACCTCACCAAAAAGAATAAGTTTAGACAGAAGTACTGAACCAACATTTACGATAATGTGCTCGTAATGTACGTTTTGATTGGATAGCATTCCTCTACGCGTTTAAACGCATTACTTCCACATCTTCCACCTACTTGAAGTATGTCACAGTACTTTAGTTGACAGTCCCGGATGAATGCTGAATAACATTAATTAAATACACGTATAAGTAAACATAAAGATTTTATGACCAGTTTTGGGGGTTTTTTTGGGTCCTTTTAGGTTATTGGTACCTTCGACGAGGCTACTGGAGCCATCAAAGTTCATGAGCCGATCAAATGGCCTGGAGGAAAGGCACCAACGGGCTACTAACTGACCAAACACCAACGACTTGGGCCTCTTGAAATATTCATGTAATTGTACATAATTAGTGATCACGTGAAGTTGCGATCAAGCGGTTGTCTCCAAGACTCCCGGCGTCACTGATTTGCATACAATAAATGCACAGCATTTTGAAAACCTGGCAGCCATAATTAGAACTTAGTTTAGAGCCATTCATAATTTTGGGCCACTGTCACCATTTTGTGCACGATAGGCCCAGTTGGAAGGACAAAAGCTTTTAAACAACCGTTGAGATACAAAACATTACTACGTATACTTAGCTGTTCTTGTATTCAACTTTAATTTCCTGCATTTTGGTGAAGGTTATGGGTTTTTCCTTAGGCGGTTTCGCTTAGAATGTTTTATACTCTTATGGGTCTACCGAGAACAGCAATAAATTAATCATTACTTCTGGATATTTTAAGTAATTCTGGTCTCAGTTTGATAATACAGTCTGCTAAAAATACTTATAGGCGGAACAAAGGTAACATTTCAGCAGATCACACGCACGCTTAAGTTTCCAGCCGTTTACCTTCGAGAACAGACCTTAGCGTATAGCCACCAGCTTGGAGGGCATCTTTTGTTGCTATAATTCAGTAACAATTAATGCACAGAAGTTTCACTGATGCATATCTTAGCAAAACAACGGCATTACCCACTAAGATGGCTGTTACGCGTAAGGTCTATGATCACCGAGCGTGGCAGCCAAATTAGTACAGACAACTTTTCGGCTGGTTACCGGTGCCAGATCTCAGTCTCCATCATACCCCAAACTTTGACATTTTTTCACCGCCGAGAGGCTATTGTATACAGGTATTTAGTTTGAAGTACGAAGTTTGATTAAGACGGTATACAGTTTTGGGATATATCAGATCTGTTGTATATAGCCTTAAATAGGTGGAGGTTTACTGACGTTTCATGTTACATTGGTGATTGTTCAAACGTGTACATTTAGCGGTATACAATTAATTAACAAGCGAGATGCATTAAATTCTCCAATCAGGCGCGGATCTAGGGGGGGGGGTGTTAGGGGGTCAAAATCCCCCCCAGCTCTAACTTATTTATTTATTTTTTGGCATAGAAATACCTTTAAAATAATGTGAAACCCCCCCCCCCCTCTTCCCCTGCTCTGACACTCAAAAAAATATGACAGTTATACTTGAAAAAATTTCCGCCTGTGCACAAAATTCAATCAGATCCAGCGGAGGTATTTGTACACTGTTATGTTATAAAGTGTTGATGATCGTCGTATTTGAACAGCGCCCCCATTGAAAGCAGGGTAGAGCCCCCCACCCCAACCTCCACCCCCTATTGATTTTACGGAAGCCAAGTGTCCGGAGAAAAAAAAACCTGTTTACATTTCAGAATTTATTTGCTGATGAACCCCCCCCCCCCCCACCCGCAAAAATTCCTGGATCCTCCCCTGCCAATACAGTATGTTCAGTAGGAATAACCTATTATTCAAGATAAAATTCCTCAAAACGTAATCAAAATAAGCAGTAGAAATTATTTTGTGTATGTTAATAGGGTATTTTCATGGGTAATTGTCATAAATTTCTTAAATATCGCACTTCGTCTTCCCAGTGTCACCATTTTTTTGTCAATATGTATAGTGTCTGATCGATCATTTTATTGCCAGAAATGGTACATGACTGAAGGATATTTCATATATTCACACTCGTGAGATCAAATACACATGGAGGGCCAATGTGCATTTAAGAATTTGCAATTTGATTCACTTAAGAATTCTTATGAAAGGAATCACAGTACCTGTTCTCTCAGCCTGGTTGGATCATCTCCACGTTCAAACAACTTGCACGTATATGCATATTAGGAATAGTCTGGTACCTGGCTGTGCTTGAAATCAGTATATGTTATTTGAATCCTGAGTAAAAATTCTCCGTTGAGGTAGGGGACAGAAAATCCTAAAGCTAAGGGGACACTATTTCCTGGAGGAAACTGTCCGGCGGACATACTCTCCTTGCAAAACCAGGACAATCTGACCTGGGGACAGAATAGCCTGTTTTGAACCTGGACAGATCTCCTTCCAAACAAGGGTGCAAATCGCTTCTCAAATGTGTGAGGGGATACCTTGATCAGAAGTAATGCGAGCGCTAAGCGAGAAAACCTAAGGTTGCAGATCAGTAAATAAACTTCCATAGACCCCAATATGGCACGCCAAAACGGAATTTAATCAACCCTGCACGGCAACTGCCAACATTATAAAATACATCACAACTTTTTTGAAAAGTATGTCAACATTGTAAAAAATATGTCAACATTTTAAAAAATATGTCAACATTGTAAACAATATGTCAACATTTCAAAAATGTATGTCAACATTTCAAAAATATATGTCAACATTTCAAAAACGTATGTCAACATTTAAAAAATATATGTCAACATTTTAAAAAATATATGTCAACATTTCAAAAACTTATGTCAACATTCAAAAAATATATGTCAACATTTTAAAAAATATATGTCAACATTTTAAAAAAAATTATGTCAACATTTTAAAAAATATGTCAACATTGTAAACAATATGTCAACATTTCAAAAACGTATGTCAACATTTAAAAATATATGTCAACATTTTTAAAAAATATATGTCAACATTTCAAAAACTTATGTCAACATTTAAAAAATATATGTCAACATTTTAAAAAAATATGTCAACATTTAAAAAAAATATTTGTTCTGATTAATTAACTAGAAATTACATGTCAACATTGCCAAAACTACCTACTACTTGTTGACAAATATATGTGTCAACCCATCCTGCGACAAAGTTCACCTAAAATACGTGTCAACATTTCGTCCAAAAATATGTGTCAACACTACCCAATGAAAAATATATGCCAACATTCACGTGACCGCCACGACGGAGTACATGCGCGAAGTATGCTGCGCTAGCACCCGGTGTCACGGTCTCACTTCTCCAGCGTGCTAGCTTCTCCGCAGAGGGAAATTTAGCCTAAACACGCATGCGCAAGTTGCGCAGTAGTGTACATTTCGCCAACTTGTGTGCTGAGTCCTTTGGGGTTGTACGGGTGCACGTGTACGGTGGCCCTGGAACGTCATTTTAATATTGACCTTTTTAATGTGAACCTTGTAACTTCTTAATATTGACTTTGTACCTTCGCAATATGCACGTCGCACGTGGCTTAATATCGCATTTTGGAAGTTGTTCCTTCTTAATGTTAATGTTCCAACTTGTTAATGTTCACGTTCGATCTTGTCAATGTACACCATTGATCATGCTTGATGTCAACGTTGCACCTTGCTTCTTCGCAATATGAACCATGTACCTTCGCATTGTGAACGTTTGACCTTGCATCTTGTTAATATCATTGTTGAACCGTCCTCCTTCGCAATGTGAATCATGCATTCTAAAAAGTACGAAGTCCTTGCCAAGCCCTATAGTTAGACAACTAGTTATGATGGAGTTTCAATCTGACGGCTGTTTAATGTCACTTAACCTGGGCGTCTACCTTGTAGTAATTTTTATCATGACTCAAGGCTCTCTGTTTTATTTCACTCATCTTTTATAATTCATGTTCAGGCTAACCATAACCCAATGTTGGGCATATATATGTAAAAACATGCATCCTGAATCAAATTTGTCATTGTTTCAAATAACCCGATCTAATCATTTCAACCGTTTACTATACACAAATTTATACCGCTTTGCTTTCTGAATGTAATGATTTCTTTCTTCCTGTACTTTCATCTTTGCCATATCCCAATAATTTTTGACTCGCCAACAGGGCTCCTTACCAAATAGTACGAGGATCCCCGCTGTTTTGACGAGCATTTGGTTTTCGGGCTACTGCTAAGTCGAACCCTACATACCCCCCCCCCCTCTCCCGGATATCCGCGCATGACCGCAACATGAAGAATATTCGCAATTGGCTGACGACCAGTCATGTATGCATGAACTCCAAGCAAACAACTTCGTATAGGGTGCCCCGGCAACACGTGATTCGCGCTCAACGCAACGGTGCGGTCGTGATGTGGCGCTCTCTCGCGGTGGCGGGTTATCGCTGCAGCGGGTAATCGCGCATTCAACCATAAAAAACGTCTAGCCCCTAGACAAGCTCGAGTATGTTGCAGGTGTATGCACTGAATAAACAATTAAATAATTGACCGAAGCCACCTGTGCCCCGCGCGCCATCGCCTTTACAATAATTGACGGGAATGGGACCGTTGGTGAAATCCCCGATATTTCCCCGAATTAATAAATATCAATGTATGCCCTTACTATTGTTGTCATGCTTTATAAGACGTGGATATTATTTCGTAACGGTACCACCGCATATAAATGATGTTCCTTTCAATTACATCTTTAGATCATACTGTTATACTAATTAAATACGCGGATCTCGACGGAAATCTCTCGTAACTATGATTAAAAACCCCAAAAAATCTGAATAGGGCTTCAAGGATGTAAAGTATTATGATAAAAGCCTTCTTAACGTGATCACAGAACACTATTTTGCATTATTGTAATTGACGGAGAGTATACCGTCAAGAAATTAATTAGTCTCATGAATTGAACACATCTTTTCTAGTGAAACAGCGCTCATTAGCTTGAACATGAATTATAAAAGATATGTGAAATAAATAAGAGAGCCTTGATTCATGATAAAAATCACTACAAGGTAGACGCCCAGGTTAAGTGACATTAAACAGCCGTCAGATTGAAACTCCATCATAACTGGTTGTTTAACTATATAGGGCTTGACAAGGACTTCGTACTTTTTAGAATGCATGATTCACATTGCGAAGGAGGACGGTTCAACAATGATATTAACAAGATGCAAGGTCAAACGTTCACAATGCGAAGGTACATGGTTCATATTGCGAAGAAGCAAGGTGCAACGTTGACATCAAGCATTATCAATGGTGTACATTGACAAGATCGAACGTGAACATTAACAAGTTTGAACATTCACATTAAGAAGGAACAACTTCCACAATGCGATATTAAGCTACGTGCAACGTGCATATTGCGAAGGTACAACGTCAATATTAAGAAGTTACAAGGTTCATATTAAAAAGGTCAATATTAAAATGTCGTTCCAGGGCCACCGTACACGTGAGATCTTTGGATAGTTGTATGTACAAATGTATACGTTACAAGGTACCAGTCGAATCCAGAATTTTCGTGGCGCGCGGAACTCCCAATACACTGTACATGTAAAGATGTGAAGGATACACGAGCAAGGAACACAGACCTTTCACAGACCAAGAAGCCATGCACAGACCAAGGAGTTCGTTCTTAATTATTCTTCCACACACACACGTACACCCATACTTGTTTCACATGACTAGTGTGGACTTTCCATTGCTTTCGTGTAGTTAAGAAAAACCAGTGAAAAAACTCATTTTTCTCAAACTGTGAAAACTCTTTCAACCCAATTTTTTTTCTATGATTCCCTTTAGTGTTTCTCTTCATTCTGCTACAGATAAACCTAACCCAAAAATGCCTCTAAACCCGTTTTCCAGAAATGGGGAAACACTGTGTGGACGTGGGGCAAGTCCACACAACGTCGGTGCTACCTACATTATGTGGACGTCTTTTGTTCGGAAGTCCACACTGCGTATGTAAGACAAGCTCACACCCACGCTGTTGCAAGATCATGGAATGACCCAGGCAAAATACTCCAGTCCTCTCTAAGCTTGACCCACAGGAAGTGTTACATAACACATTCTTGGGTGGACTTGCTCAGTGTTGTAGTCGAGGCCACAACCTCCGAGGCCGAGGCCGAGGCCACAACCTCTGAGGCCAAGGCCGAGGCCGAGGCCACAACCGCGAGGCCATAGCACCGCCCGAGGAAAAGTAAGCACAGCGGACACATGGGCATGTATCGTGCTCATGTAACGTGCACTGTAACGTGCTCAATTTTCCGCCGCATTCACCCGGAGAATCCAGCACGCCGGAGAAGTGAGACCGCGACACCGGGTGCTAGCGCAGCATACTTCGCGCATGTACTCCGTCGTGGCGGTCACGTGAATGTTGGCATATATTTTTCATCGGGTAGTGTTGACACATATTTTTGGACGAAATGTTGACACGTATTTTAGGTGAACTTTGTCGCAGGATGGGTTGACACATAAATTATTTGTCAACAAGTAGTAGGTAGTTTTGGCAATGTTGACATGTAATTTCTAGTTAATTAATCAGAACAATTTTTTTTTTTAAATGTCGACATATTTTTTTTTAAATGTTGACATATATTTTTTAAATGTTGACATAAGTTTTTGAAATGTTGACATATATTTTTTTAAATGTTGACATATATTTTTTAAATGTTGACATACGTTTTTGAAATGTTGACATATATTTTTTAAATGTTGACATATTTTTTTAAATGTTGACATACGTTTTTGAAATGTTGACATATATTTTTTAAAATTTTGACATACGTTTTTGAAATGTTGACATATATTTTTTAAATGTTGACATATTTTTTAAAATGTTGACATACTTTTCAAAAAAGTTGTGATGTATTTTATAATGTTGGCAGTTGCGAGTTGGCAATTCCGCTTTGGCGTGCCATACCCCAATGGTAAATGCTCCCACTTTAGAAATTCGGGAAAAATACTCACAACTCTCCAAGGTGTTCGAGACACACATCAAATTAAAGCTTATTTCGTCATCTTTCATTTTCTTTTCAATTTTGGGGGGGGGGGGGGTCAACTGATGACTTTTAGGAGAAATTTCCATCCAAAGATGATCACCCCTGAAAATAGTCCTGAAGCCCATCGCCATTTTGAAAAAAACGATGCCTACACTCCATTGCAAAATAGAGCGCTTTAAGGGCCCCCAATTTCATCCAAATTGAACGGAACTACAAGCTCACAGTCCTGTGCACGGCTTCCACCCATATTTTTTTACAAACCCTCAAGTTCATGGCCCACAGCATGCTCAAATACTGAAGATTTTGTTGGGCATGCATGCAAATCGTGATTTGGCCGGCGTATGCAATTTCGGACCGATTTACTGGTCTGCAACCCTAACGGCGTGGGCCCGCTGAAGGGCCCGGGAGCATTTTGGGCAAAAGGTCATCTTGAAAATATCATTTTCGAGTTTGGAGTCATTGAATAAGCTATTCTGAGCTACAGAATCATCATGTAGGCTACAATTTTTATTCAGGGACAAAAGGGGGGGGGACAAATTAACGATATGATATGCCCCCACTTTAAAAAGTGCGGGGGACTCCCCCCCCCCCCCCCCCCCACCCCCACCGATTGATGCCCATGCTTCCTCAGTAGCATGACCATTATATTACCAAGGTGGATAGGCACATCAGAACGCAGGGGTGGTACCTAATTAAAGAAGGTTACGAAAATACATAAGATTCGTGAGATATGTTCATCTCAGTGCATGTAAGTAAATAATCAAGAAACCTTGCAATCAACTATGCCATCAACGCATTGCACGTTGTATTTATTTTGATTTCGAGAGAGAGAGAGAGGTGGCGTTATATACTTTAAAGAAATTAACACAGTGGGAAGGTTTCGTGAAACCAATGTAGTCTAAGTAAGATTTGAGGCTTTGCATGGTGGAGATACTAAATAATGAAAGGTTTGCGGAAACACCATGTGCGAATAATTTCTCAACTAAGAGAATGGTTCTGAAAAGAACCAGAGGTATAAACTCGACGTTCCGGTCAGTATCCTCTGACCGTCTTCAGGAGAGTGCCTAAATGTAGTCTCTTCAGTTTTAAGATGTTATGACATATTGCAATCTTCTTCTGAAGACGCAGTGCAGTGCTGTGCTTCTATTTGTGCAGAACAAGGAATTATTCTCCCCTGGTGAAAAATTGAACCTAAGGTATTGAAATTTAAAGCAATAGGTCTATACCGATAGACTGACGGTACTGCGACGAAGCTTAATCTGGAGGTTTAAATCGTTTACTCGTTAAATTTTGCAGTTTCTGCTAGAATAAAATTTTGATAAAGGAGCGGCTGTTTAACCAGTTAATTGGTAAAGTACACTCTGAAAGCATCCTGGTCAGATTGATCTGGAATCCGGCTTCTATTTGGCTCAACCCCTTTTGGGGTCAAAAATGAATTTTTTTGGGGGGGTCAAATACTTTTCTGGGTCGTTTTGACACTTTTCCGGGTCATTTTGACCCAAAGGAAATGTCATTTTGACCCCCAAAAAGTGTCGTTTTGCCCCTTAAGAGTATCATTTTTGACCCGGAAAAGGATTGAGCCAAAATAGAACCCGGATTCCGGGTCAATCAGACCCGGCTGTTTTAGAGTGTACCTTATGCGTTCAAGTTTATACTAGAGTGATCGAGATATGAATCGAAATCGTTTGGACTACTCCTTTATCTGAATTATAGCAACTAGCAAGTGGATTTGTTATGGTTGCGATAATGTGCGTTGTAAGTTGACCGGTTCGCCTTAAAGCATAAGGCAGCAGCTTTGTCGCAGTTGCAGATTGCCTTAGCGCAGTTCTCGCCCACGTAGTACCACGGATAGCTCGAGGCCCTCTCTGAAACAGAAATGAAATTGCAATCACGCCAGTGTTATTTCCGCCGACTAACAATGAAAGATGTAATGTAAATCGAGATGTAATGAAAATCAAAGGCCCAACTTTTCATAATTGCAATAAAAACTCGACACCGTCTTGTGCATCATAATAACACAAATTTTATTGTGTATAACACAGCACATTCTTTAGATTCCCTGCAAACAGGGTGCTGGGATACGCTGATGAGCTTCACAGAATCTTGTGAAGGAAGTGGCCCATGACCTATGTATTAAGCATCTGGCTGCAGCTGCTCACTACCGCAGTTAGACAATGAGCGCAAATGCTATCCGAAAACTTCCCATAGAAATGCACACATTCTATACCGGATGTGATTTTTTTTTCATTGCGGACCATGTGGTCACATTTTGAACGTCGCATATGCAATCATTGACCTTCGTGAATTCGAAACGGACCCTGGGCAAATGACAGGACAATTTTACAACACAGATAGGTTTTACAGATTTTTCTACATGCATTATAACGCTTTTCATCGAAAACAAAAGCATTTATCAATTGAATAAAGAGTAATGAATCTGTCTTAACGGCCGTTTAAAACCTTGCAGGGGTCGTGGCCGTGATGACTTGCAGGTCACAGGTCACGCAAAATCTATCCAATCAGAGCGTGAGTTCATCAGCGTATCCCAGCGTCCTGTTTGCAGGGCGGGGGTATCATCATATGAAAATTGCCTGGGTTAATTTTACCCAAGAAAGGGTGAAAACTACAACTACCCAAAATTGGGTTGTTCTATAATCAAATGTTTGGGTTAGAATTTCTGTTAAATTCAACCAAAAATTGTGGTCATACAAGTCCAAATTTAATTTTGTCTTGTATGACCACAACTTTTGGTTGAAATTAACGGAAATTTTAACCCAAACAATTGATTATAGAACAACCCAATTTTGGGTAGTTGTAGTTTTCACCCTTTCTTGGGTAAAATTAACCCAGGCAATTTTTCAGTACGAGCGAAATTTTTACTGTACATTTTGGAAATGTTACCGAAGGAGGGCGCAATTCACAAAGTAACACCGATCGAGTCAAAATTGAATAAGCGTAGAACGGCTTTCGAATAAGGATGACCGATACAAATCAAAGATAACAATCGGGTAAAATGAAGCATTGCAGAATCGAGTACAGTGATGAATCGATAAAAAGTTGGAATTGGGAAAAAAGGTGACGAACTGGGTCCTCTTAGGCGGGAACAATTTGTTTTTCTTGAGAGAAAAAGTTTTGGGACTGGTCGTCTTCAAAGATTGGGCCCTTGTTGAGCTTAAACTTTCAAAAGACAGTCTCTCTTTCTCCTGAGCAAGCCACGAAAATGTTGATTTCAACAAAACTCTCACATTCATTTAACTTTATACTGCAAATATCTTCAAAATAAGATATTGCACGTTTTTGGACAATTGCCGTCCATCCAAGAGAGCAGATCGAACGTCTTTTGTCTCGATGGTTTAAAAGTGGCCATTTGCTTTTCTGCCAGCAGAAAACAGATTTCCGTAAAAAGTGCAATCAGCTTTTTCTGCTAGTGGTTTACGTGGAGGGACGAAAACTAAAAAAACTGCTGGTAGGCCTATAGTATGACATTTTTACAAAAAAGTTGAATCGCACTCAGTGCTAATTTGACGGTACAATGTCCCCCCCCCCCCCCCCCCCACAAAATGTCCCTAGCAGGGTTGCAGTAGAATTTGGGGGGAAATGAAATGTTATTTCTACTTTTCTTACAATATTGTTGACTTTTATGATTCTTAGTTTATGTAGCCAATGATAGTACTGATATAAAATCAAAAAAGCACTATGTGGTTAAAATAAATCACTCGCACAGAAACACACTGTGTACGCTCTCCTTGTGTTGTCAAACTTGGAATGGAGCAAAAAAGACTGGTGTTAGAAAGGCAAAAAAAAAAAGTCTCCGATTTTTGGTATGCGCGCGCGTCGCCGTAGCCATGCTCGTCGGCAAAATGAAAAAGTTTTTTTTTCAATGAAAGCTGATGTCTCAAAACCGCCAAACTCACTGGTTTGACTGGAATCCTGCTGCTGCACAATTTTAACGTGTTTTTAGATTGGGTTATGGTCGAGAATAAGCTTTATGTGGCCTCTCTGGACTCCCACATATTTGCACTAAGTTTAGTCGGGCACCCTTTGCAGTCATCAGCCGACATTTGAAGCAAAAAAAAAACAGGTAAAAAAAAAAAGCCGCGTCGCCGCACCACTTTTTGGGCAAGCTCCATACCAGAACCGGAGACTTTTTTTTGGCCTGACGGCCTTTGTTTCAAAACCACTATACAGAATCAAAACAAAATCTCACACAAGAGGGAAAACTTTTTGGGCTCATCTTCTATAATTGAATATGAAAATTTTCATATGAGAATGTTGATACACCCTCGAGATGGACTTTTGTTGGGGGACACCCGGTGCAAAAGCAGGTGTTCCCCTTTAGAGCCTTCATACTTACTGCAAGTGATGCTGGCGTGAGCGGTCCCGCACCCGCTCTTGCTGTATTTGTATGGGATCGTATACCAGAGTGCTTTGGTCAAACACGGACTTTGCAGGTAGCATCTGTCGTGAGTTCTACAGCAACTATACAGGGCAAAAGAAACACAAACCAAATAGCGTAATATACCTTATGCGTACAACGGCCATCTTACAGGGTACTTTAGTGTTATTTTAATTCGGTAACAATAAATGTACAAAAAGTTCAGGTGTGCATAATCCCAGCAAAACAAAGGTTCTTCCCCAACACATGTGATTGGTCAATTTGTCCCCAATTTAACGAAAGGGGTAACTACATACCAATGCTTGGCAAATAACATTGCCAAACAATGTTGTACCAAACTCTTTGTACAGTGGTAAATCTACAAAGAGTTTGAGAGAGAATACTTAAAAAATAAATACAATAGTCTGCGATTCCTATTTAATCTCGCATGCATAGTGGTGCATACAACTTTTGCCCTGATGCAATGCACTTGACGTGTTTTTATAGCCTTTCGTATTTGCATTTATAGTGAAAGCGAGGGAATGAAGTACTCGTGCGTGTTGTCATTTGATCCAAAACTCTTCGTTTTTGCCATTACGTTTACACTTGTATTTTTTCAAATTATCTTGTTTTACCATACAGCACAACCCTCCTCGAGAAATGTCAGGATAGGCCTATACTTTCATAGAAAAAATAATTGGATAATTATCAGGGCATGCATTTGTCTTTGCGATGGGTTAGTGGACCGATTTAGTTTTGTTTTCAAAAATGTGCGGGTAGGTGATCGACCCAAGTACCACTTCTTGCAAAATTTAACACGCTTTTCCTGAAACAACTACCAAATTTAGAAACCGCATGTCGACAATTGGTGAAAGAGCAATAGCAATCCGTTGTCATTGTTCATCCCTGACTGGACATGTGGAAGGACTTGTGACCGGACCAGTGATGGACACGACTACACTATATAAACCCGATTGATGTTGCTCAGAAATTGAAGAAACAAATCTTGTGCATTAGCGAGTCATCTTACGTGTCCGTTGCATCCAGCGGGTTGCCGCTACCCCCGACGCCACAGTGACACCCGTATCCGTTGTAGTCCCGTTGGAATGACCACAGACTCAACCCCGTAGTACACATCGACAACCGAGCAAACTGATAGGCAGAGCTGATGGTAACTGTGGCGTTAAAGGAACAAAGGATCATTTGCTTTTTAAGCATGAGCTTTTTAATTGAAGCAACAACATTGCACACAGTCTTATGCAAACATTCAAACAAACAAAAATGGGTCCAAAGGCAGACAAGTCTTTGGGACTGTTTTAAGACATGTAATAAGACATGATAAGGTGATTGTTTTCGTCCTAACGATACCATTTTCAAGTTGAGAAATTTCACAGTGTATTTGGTACCATCCCTACATCTTCACCCTTAGCAAAGTTTTTCTCAATAAATCAGTATAGGTACGTGTGTACGTCCGATTGTTGTGGACAGGCGGAGAAGGGTTATTGTTATTATTGTTATAGTTTGTTTGTGTGTCAGACCGGGGGGGGGGGGGTGACCCCAAAACCCCTCTCTGGATCTGCGCCTGTACCGGATACACCAGGTTCCTAAAGGCTCGTCTCAATGGCAATTCCGTGTGGAGGTCCGGACAAGTTGCGAAGTTGCAGGAATCTGAACAACTTCCCCGCAACTTTCCTACAATGAAGTTATCAGTATTGGTGAGTCCAGTAGTTGCATCATAAAGAAACTTTTCCCGGAATCTGTCCAGGACAAATGCAGAGTTAAGTGAGCGATTCTAACTTGTCCGGAACTCGTCCCGGATATAAATTCAGACTTGACGGGCCTTAACTTCCTCTCTGCCGTTGCATAAAGTGGTGCTGAGTGAATTTAATCCAATGTTATATCTGTTACTGTGGAAACACCGGGAAAATAGGTCGACAACAAAAACGGGAACATTGTGGAATCCAGACAGTACAATCAAGTAATATCACTCCGACAATCAGTACTTTTGGATTTTTACTGTCTTAGATTGAGCGTCTTGTGGTTAACACTTTTCCTTTTCCTTTTTGTCGAGTAAAGATTCAGGGGTAATCTTTTGAGAGAAAGTACGCGTTTCAAGACATGATTTTCCCCCAAAAAAGAAGGAAGTGTGTAACTTTTCCCAAGTTTAAAAGTGGAGTATATTTTGTCATTTGTGCATATTGTTTTTCGTTTTAAGCAACAACAAATGCTAAATATCTAAAGAATGATGCTTAACAACTAACCTGACGAAGTTTTAGTTTAGTGAATGTTGTATAGTGCGAAAAAACAATTCTAGGATCTCGATTTCAGTTCAACAGTTGCCTTCTCATGTTTTGACCGAAATGCCGGAAATCAGCGTCCGGCACACGTTCTCATTCAGCCGATTATTGCAGCTAGCTACTTGATATCACGCACTGAAACGACATAGTCGTGCGTGCGCGTGTGGCGTCGTGTCAACGCTTGCACGCACCCTATCACGGCTTTGTCGAATTAAACTTCTAACGGAAATTTCCAAAAATGTCACTGGACGCATCTTTGGAAATTGCTTTCTTTTATTGTTTTCTTCAAAATGACAGTATGCCAGAAAGAATAATTTCACAGGAAGTTTAGTGCCATTACTATATTTAAACCAAGTATAGCTTTTCGACAATAATTTTGAGAGTTACTTTTTGAACAGCTCCAAATGAAAAGTGTCTTTCAAAGTTTACAGGAAATTGTTGTTCTGTTTAAGGGGGAGTAGGGGAGGGGAATATAATTATGATGAGAAGATCGTGTCAAAATGATAGGTGTCATATGAAATAAAGATATCAAAATACAATTAAAAAATATTGAACCCAAAGATAAGTTGAAATCAATCCTCAAACTGCAAATTATGGGGTTTTTGTGGAGGAATAGGTTCTTTTAGGAAAACAGTGAATTTTGATCTCGTAAACTCAACTGAACGTAAAGGCTACTTACCGTCATCAGCGCGCTTAGCCGGCTCACCAGCCTCAACCAGGCCGAAACCATTGCCACACAGACACACAAGCAGAGCCGAAACAAACACAGTGCCGCACAAATTGGTCATCACGATGATCAGCTTAACAGATTCCTTACTATACTCGATGGTCAGTCTGTTTTAATATGATTTCTGTGACTTGAACGACGTGGTTTTATACTCATCAACGAAAGCAATAAAAATCTCCAGGCCTATAATTCCTGGACTTACAGGTTGCTGGTAGCGAACAGCCCGGTGCTATGTGGATGCAATTTTGGTATTTCGATTTGAATAGTAGTGCATGGTGTACTTCGAAATGGAACGGTCGTTGTCTATGACTCTTCTGGGACTATATTTGAACTGTTATTATATTTCAATTGGCAAGGGACAGCATGCTAAAGGCAGGAGATTATTGTAAAAGTACATGAATGTTACAAAGTACAAAACTTGCCCAACTTGAAAAGTGGCAAAGCGCCTTCTTGGGGTACTGGCTAAATAAAGTCATATTAGGCCCAACAAAAAATTCGGTCTCTGGTCAGACAAGAGTTCCGGAATTGATGCGGCGACGCGTTTTTTCTTTTTTGCCTTTTTTTTGGCCCTTTTTTTTTTTGAAGCTTGGATTGTACAGACAAGGTGGGTACTATTTTGCTTTTGTTGTGTCCTCATATACATTGGGGATTTCCATATTTTGCCTTGGTGCCCTCCAACATTTGCCTTGGTACAATTTCCCCATTCCTTGGTACAAAAATTTGAGGAGGTGCGGCAATAGAGGGCGCTGCTGTAGCTACCACAGACAATTTGAAGAAAAAAAAAGTTGACGCAAATGATTAAAATCGACGCGCGCGCTGACCAGAGACCGACTTATTTTTATTTTTTTTTTGGCCTTACAGAGAACTGACCAAGTCTTGCAGTTTTATTTGGGCAAGTTCGAGCAAAGCACATATCGAAGTGCTAATTAGGCGAAGACGTGAAGTAGCTGCCAATTTGGCCGGCGCCATTCGGCGAATTGGCAATTGGGCGAAGTGATGGCTGTCGGCGACTCATCAGTGAAGTGGTGTCGGCAATAATAAGGTGGAAATTCGGTAAAGTGCGCCGTGCGGACCGACACCCTAAGAGACGATCAAGTGTGTGCAATGCGCCCCCACTAACACCGATCCTGAAATATCTCCAGTTTTTGTTTAAGTAGTAAAGGACACTAGCGGGACTGACGAACAAAATGGTGTCACCCAAAAACTATTAACGTATAGACCATTTACATGTTGCAGCCATTTGACTTTTTTTTTATTCAAATCAATGTAACCAAAGCCAGGCTGGATGAACAAATAGTCTGGTTCCTTTTTGCACAGAAACATTATCATTCAGTACTGTTCATGGGCGTCGCGAGGGCAAGGGGGCGCTTGCCCCCCCCCCTTCCCCCCCCCCCCCACCCCAAAAAGGAACAACAACACCAACAACAAAGAAGTAAAAAAAAAAAGTCATATTAAATTTAATGGGTGGGGGAGGCAAAATTGATAAATCGAGAATATGTTGCTGTTAGGAAATACAGGCATTTTTGAGGAAAAATATGTTTAGCTCCTCCTCCCCCCCCCCCCCAATCAGCGGGCGCTTTTTATATCGGGTCTTCGGTCATTCACCCGTTGCGCATCATAGACAGTGGATTAAAAAGCCCTGCGTCACACGCTCTGTTATCATGTTACGCGATAACGCGCCCGGCTGTTGTTGCATTACAAAGCACTGCATTCGAATTGACCAATCAAACGTTTAGTCCTGATTTGGGAATGAAATGACGTCACTATTTAGTAAAGTCAACTACGATTGGCTGAGGCGCGAGATCGCATAAATCTGCATGCTTTGATATATCAGACGTTAGACAGGAGTCTGGGCCCCGTGGATAACGGGTGATACTCAGACTACATGTAGGTCCGACGCCTCATATAAGTCCGACGCCTCATAAATCCAACGTCGGAAAAACGAGGCGTCGGACCTATGAGGCGTCGGAGCTTTGGACCAGTACCAGAAAAGGTTTATTTGCCCGATCCCGACAAGGCAAGAACGAGATTTAAAAAACAAACAAAAGTTACGACTTTTAAGTCCGCAAGGTTGTCTACTTATACGAACCGCGCACTGTGCATAGCTTGAACTAACTGGACGCAGATCAGTCCGCCACCGCGCAGTTTTTGGCGCAAGGGTTGATGCTACGGGAGTCAATCCAGAGGGGGGGGGTGTCTGGTGCCACCCCTAATGTAAATCGGCATCGCTAACTCTAACAATAAGGCGCTAACATTCTGACATTTTACGCAATGTTTGTATTGATTCATAATGGCTATCGGACTTATGAGGCGTCGAACTTATGAGGTTTCGGCCTTATGAGGCGTAGGACTTTTGGACAGAAAATAAAACTAAATTTAATTGTCGGACCTACGAGGCGTCGGAGCTGTGAGGCGTCGGAGCTATATGGCGTCGGACTTATGAGACGTCGGAACTATGAGGAAACGGACTAATGGGCCTTTATTTGGGTGGGGATGCGATTTTGTCGGACTTATGAGGCGTCGGTCTTATAGACAGAAATAAAAGTAAATAATCAAGAAACCTTGCAATCAACTATGACATCAACGCATTGCACGTTGTGTTTATTTTAATTTCGAGAGAAAGAAAGAGAGGTGGCGTTGTATACTTTAAAGAAATTAAACAGTGGGAAGGTTTCGTGAAACACAATGTAGTCTCTTCAGTTTTAAAACGACATATTATTGAAATACTCTTCTGAAGACGCAGTGCTGAGCTGTGCTTTTATTTGTGCAGAACAAGGAATTATTCTCCCCTGGTAAAAAATTGAACCTAAGGTATTGAAATTTAAAGCAATAGGTCTACGCCGATAGACTGACGGTACTGCGACGAAGCTTAATCTGAGGTTTAAATCGTTTACTCGTGAAAATGTGCAGTTTCTGCTAGAATGAAATTTTGATCAAGGAGCGGCTGTTTAACCAGTTAATTGGTAAAGTGCACTCTGAAAGCATCCTGGTCAGATTGATCTGGAATCCGGCTTCTATTTGGCTCAACCCCTTTCCGGGTCAAAAATGAAACATTTTTCGGGTCAAACACTTTTCTGGGTCATTTTGACGCTTTTCCAGGTCATTTTGACCCAAAAGAAATGTCATTTTGACCCCCAACAAGTGTCGTTTTGCCCATTAAGAGTATCATTTTTGACCCGGAAAAGGGTTGAGCCAAAATAGAACCCGGATTCCGGGTCAATCAGACCCGGCTGTTTTAGTGTGTACCTTATGCGTTCAAGTTTATACTAGAGTGATCGAGATATGAATCGAAATCGTTTGGACTACTCCTTTATCTGAATTATAGCACCTAGCAAGTGGATTTGTTATGGTCGCGATAATGTGCGTTGTAAGTTGACCGGTTCGCATTAAAGCATAAGGCAGCAGCTTTGTCGCAGTTGCAGATTGCCTCAGCGCAGTTCTCGCCCACGTAGTACCACGGGTAGCTTGAGGCCCTCTCTGAAACAGAAATGAAATTGCAATCGTGTCAGTGTTATTTTCGCCGACTAACAATGATCGAGATGTAATGAAAATCAAAGGTCCAAGTTTTGATACTCGCAATAAAAACTCGACACCGTCTTGTGCATCTTAATGACACAAATGTTGTGTAACACAGCACATTCTTTAGATTCCCTGCAAACAGGACGCTGGGATACGCTGATGAGCTTCACAGAATCTTGTGAAGGAAGTGGCCTATGACCTTTGTATAAAGCATTTGGCTGATACCGCAGTTAGACAATGCGCGCAAATGCTATCCAAAAACTTCCCATAGAAATGCACACATTCCATACCGGATGTGATTTTTTTTCCATTGCGGACCATGTGGACACATTTTGAACGTCGCATATGCAATTGTGGCAGGTGTAGAAAGACCCTGTGTTGATGTTAGAGTTGATTGCCCTTCCACTGTTTACATTTCCCCTTTAAGCTCTTCCAGCACCCCCTTAGTTAATTTCTTAGGAATCCTGTGTAATAAACAATGAACCCTCTTACATAATCCTTGGTAGTGTGGTTGGTCACCCCTATAATGTACATGTACTTCAGTTAGCAGACTGGCAGCGCAAGGGGAACACCCACACTTGTTCTCCCTTCCCAAGCTTTGATTTTTACTCTATAAGTTTTGCCTGCTTCAAGACCTTACTGCTATATGGACTCGGTAAGCTTAAACTTTGTTTTATTATTTAGTTGTTTCATTAGTTGATTAGTTTGACAATCATATTATTCCTTTATTTCTTTGGAATTTCATTTCTAAAGTTGTATTTTAAAGATCGGACTTGGAAGTATCTTTTGTTATAAACTTAGTTTGGATTCAATGTTTAAGACTTTGTGTTTCTTAAATTTGATTGAAGAAGTGTATTTTAATCGATTGTATTTTTTGTTGTTTTATTTAACAGGTTTAAAAGCCATTTTGATTTTAATCTGTAACTTTCTTTGGCACTGTGTTTTTAATTGTTTCAATTCTGGGTTTCGTTTAATAGTTTTACTGTGTGTTGGTCTTGGTTAAGGTTACACTGGTTTGGCTTTTGGTCATTGCTTTAGTATCAATAAAGTTATTTTTCTTATTTTTGTTTATTGAGGAAACCTACATTTTGAGTCACTGTCCCACTTCTTGCATTTCCTCGCGTCTTTACCCTATTCGGTCATTAGATTAATTGAGTTTTCTTAAGTGAGTTCCCCCAGCGTTTAGTTTTATTTAGTTTAGTCGAGCGGTCCATTTTTCCCGATTACACAATCATTGACCTTCGTGAATTCGGAATGGAGCCTGAGCAAGTGACGGGAACTGCCAATTTACCACACAGATAAGTTTTACATATTTTTCTACATACATTATAACGCTTTTCAACGAAAACAAGCATTTATCAATTGAATAAAGAGTAATGAAATCAGTCTTAAAGGCCGTTTGAAACCTTGCAGGGGTCGTGGCCGTGATGACTTGCAGGTCACAGGTCACGCAAAATCCAACCAATCAGAGCGTAAATTCATCAGCGTATCCCAGCGTCCTGTTTGCAGGGTGGGGGTATCATCTGCCTGGGTTAATTTTACTCAAGAAAGGGTGAAAACTGCAACTACTCAAAATTGGGTTGTTCTATAATCAATTGTTTGGGTTAGAATTTCTGTTAAATTGAAATTCAACCAAAAATTGTGGACATACAAGTCCAAATTTAATTTGGTCTTGTATGACCACAGCTTTTGGTTGAGATTAACGGAAATTTTAACCCAAACAATTGATTATAGAACAACCCAATTTTGGGTAGTTGCAGTTAAAATTAACCCAGGCAATTTTTCAGTACGAGCGAAATTCTTACTGTACATTTTGGAAATGTTACCGAAGGAGGGCGCAATTCACAAGTAACACCGATCGAGTCAAAATTGAATAAACGTAGAACGGTTTCCGAATAAGGATGACTGATTCAAATCAGAGATAGCAATCGGGTAAAATGAAGCATTGCAGAATCGAATATAGTGATGAATCGATAAAAAGTTGGAATTGGGAAAATAAGTGACGAATTGGGTCCTCGTAGGCGGGAATAATATTTTGGGACTGGTCGTCTTCAAAGATTGGGCTTAAACTTTCAAAAGACAGTCTCTCTTTCTCCTGAGCAAGCCACGAAGATGTTGATTTCAACAACACTCTCACATTCATTTAACTTACTTATCTTCAAAATAAGATATTGCACGTTTTAGACAACTGCCGTCCATCCATAATAGCAAATCGAACGTCTTTTGTCACGATGAATGGTCTAAAGTGGCCATTTGCTTTTCTGCCAGCAGAAAACAGATTTCCATAAAAGCCTTCATACTTACCGCAAGTGATGCTGGCGTGAGCGGTCCCGCACCCGCTCTTGCTGTATCTGTATAGGATCGTATACCAGAGGGCGCTGGGCGAACACGGACTTTGCTCATAGCATCTGTCGTGAGTTTTACAGCAACTATACAGAGAAAAAGAAACACAAACCAAATAGCGTAATAGACCTTATGCGTACAACGGCCATCTTACAGGGTACTTTTTAGTTATTTTAATTCGGTAACAATGAATGAACTGTAACATTTGAGCAATTGACATAATTTGTTTTGACATGGCGCGCCATAGAAAGCGATAGACGCGCAATTAGTTTGTCGCCGCCAGCGGGCTAGCCAGTTGGTGAACGCTACTCGTACTGGCAGGACCAACCAAGCCTACCGGAGCGTCAATTCAAGGAGGCGAAAGGGCGTACTGCAGTAAGTATATGTGCCTACCTACCTTTAGCGTGGGGCATATAGCGGAGCCATAGGCGCGACTGTTGGCCGGACGCCTCGAGGGACGACGTACGCTAGCGAGCGTACATCTACTGAGGCGTCGGTCCGAGCACTGAGGCGCAGGGCTGCTGTAGGTACCGCTGGAGGCGTTAGGACTCATCGAGGAGTTACACGCTCCATATAAACCAGGCTCACGAGGAGCCTACCCCTTTGAGGCCCGAGGAGACGAGAGGCGTTGCCGAGGGAACAACTGTGCGCGACATTTAGAAGTGCATAAATGCGGCACTTGCGTGGTGGATAAGTGCAAACTAGTGGCGGCGGAGGCGCTATACACTCACTGGAGGCGCTATACACTCACTAGAGGCGCCATAGCAATCACTTGAGGCGCTATTAGGGCTTATTCACAAGTAAATCACTCTAATCATAATAATTGATCTAATTAAATAAATCAGTGAAACCTTCTTCCTTTTGTCATTGCGTCACAGTCATTTTTACATGTTTGTCAGTCTGTATTGTCTGTCTGGAAGTCAGCGATCAGTGAGTAGACTGGGTATACGTGGTGGTATATTTCCAACCGAACGGACCTGCACCTCGGCGCTGTTAGGGTTACTCGCCTTACCCGCGAGTGTTCGCCGAGGACAACCGACCTGGCAATAGTAAAATCCGCCACAAATGGTGGCAGCGGTGGGATTTGTATGCTCAGCTTATTACTGGACGCTTGGAACATTTTTTTGTGTGTGCACTGACCTCTTTACGAACGTACGTGTAAACAGACTGATAACTAATCTTGATTGCATAATCAAATTTGGAGTTGATCAAGTGTTGCGAGTGATTAGACAAAGTTGGACACTCCGATTTTTGCGGAGGACTTGGAAGGATAATTCTCAGGACGCTGACACTGAATGGCCAAGGCCAAGTGTTCGGATGAGATGAGCAGTAAACAGAGAGAAAGCACAGGTACCCTCACAGGCGAGCGTCCTGTGCCGATATTGCAGGAGGAAATTGACCTACTGCGTATGGAAGTCCAACTGAAAGAGGATCAGTTGGCAAACTCGATGAGAGAAAAGGAACGTGCCGAGACCCGGTTGGGGCAATTTCTGTCTCAATCCCCGGGGTCTCCGGAAGAGGAACACCACCAACGTGGGTGGATACACAAAAGGCCCGAGAGGGATGACAAGGAAATCGAATTTAAGTATGACTTAACGCGTGACATGGAGACCTCTGGTTATGGTTCCATGTTTGGTCGCGCAAAACAGATGCAGCGAACCGGTACGGAGACAGGCCGGAACACATCTACACCGATGAAAACGATGATGAAGAATAAAACATACTTGCCACAACCACAGTCGACGGCACAGACACATCCGACTACTGATCGTGGAGGAGCTATAACACCTCCGGTGGAGGGCACTCCAGAGAGTGGAGGCGCCACCCCCACAAACGACAAACACGGTGATCTGATGGAGGGCAGGCCAACCTCTCCTAGCACCCCATGGCCATTGAAGAGAGAGAGGAGCGGATTCAATCGTCACAAGAGTGGCAGGACCGATTTGGAGGAAAAGCCAAACGACCTAATATTGTTCCGGATCGATTCAGCGGAAAACAGCCCTGGATAGATTACAGGGAACACTTCGAGTCTTGTAGGCGAGTAAATGACTGGAATGATGAGGAAGCTGCAGCGTTTCTGGCCGCAAGTTTGCAAGGATCCGCTGTGAAAATTTTGACTAATCGCCAAGGGGAAGGAAAAGCCCGGCAATACAAGTATACTGAACTAATTGGACTACTCGATACACGTTTTGGGCCGGGGCAGATGGCTGAGAACTTCCTTATGGAACTGAGAAACCGTCGCCAAGGCCCAAAGGAGACTTTACAGGAACTTGGAGAAGCAGTCCGCGAGTTGGCTACCCTATCATATCCGGAGTTAACGGAAGACAGTTGGGATAGATTGGCTCGTGGGCATTTTTCAGACGCAATCGCCAGCCAAAGCATTCGGGAGGGAGTTTTCCGGTCAAGGCCGTCTTCTCTGAATGACGCCGTTCGTGCGGCGCTGGCGACGGAGAATTTTGAACGGATTGAGGAACAACGATGTGGAAAAAAGGACAAGAAATGCCGCATGGGGCGAGATGAGGAGGAGTACCGGGACACCATCATAGCTGATGTGGTCGACAATCTAAAGCAGTACTACAAGAATATGAGAGACGAGCAGGCAACTAAGGAAAAGTCACCTCAGCCTGAAAAGAGGAGAGACACACGCGTATACCACCCGAGACCGCGTAGGATAGCCAACCCGGATGATAGGTGTTACGGGTGCCAAGGAAAGGGACATTTTGCAAAGGATTGCACAAACCCAACTACCCCTGCACGGAGGCGCTCGGGAAACGGCCGCCAGCCGACTCTGCGACCCAAGAGGAGGCTGGGCGAACAGAAGGGTCAACCGACAATGGACTCAGAAGTTCAACAGGACAAAACTCATCTCAACCCTGACGACAAAAGAGAAATATTTGCACCATTGGTTGTTCCAAAGCAGGGACTTTACGTACAAGGAGAGTTTCGGTCAGTCACTATCCCGTTCCTGGTGGATACCGGAACGACGGACACAATAATCTCGGAGGAGGTTTACTATCAGATACCGACAGAGAGACGCCCACCGTTGGAGCAGGATGGCATCCGAGTCGTGCAGGCAGATGGTAGTGTCATGGAAACAGTAGGTGTGGCAAACATGGACTTGCGTATTGGAAGGACAGCGTGCCCAGTACGGGCAGTCATTGCCAAAGTCAAAACCAAAGGCATACTCGGGATGGACTTTCTGCTCCCAACCGGAGGGACACTGGATTTCAACAAGTGTGAACTTTTGCTTCACGGAGAACACATACGGTGCACAACTAGATGGGGAACTACCTTGCATTCCAGGGTGGTTGTGGCAGAAACGACTGTCATTCCACCCGGACACGAAGCTCTTGTTCAAGGAAGAGCGACCCGTGATTTCGAATCAGGTGACCTGGGGATTATAGAACCGATTGAAGGAGGTGGTGAGTTGTCGCAAAAAGGCTTGATTCTTGCAAGAACGTTGGTAGATCCTAAGGAGGGAGTACTTGCCTTGCGGTTGCTTAATCCGGGCAGCCGAGAGTGCATGGTTCGGTCGGGCACGACAGCCGGACGCCTCACACCGGTGGTAGAGAGAGATGTGCTGCAGGCACATGAAGTTGAACCAGGAGATGAAAACAAGGATGTACATGTCCCCGGCCACCTTGAGGATCTCTGGAAACGCAGTGTGGAGAATCTGGATCCCTGTTATCACTACGCGGTGGCTCGACTGCTCACTGATTTCGCGGATGTATTTTCGGAGGGCGATCATGACATTGGGAGAAATGATTGGGTGAAGCACCATATCGACACGGGAGAAACACGACCTGTCAGGCAGAGGCCCCGCCGGCAGCCATTGTGCAAGCAACAGGAGATTGACCGACAGGTGCAGGACTTGTTGAAGAGGGGACTGATTACGCCATCAGACAGCCCCTGGGCCTCAAATGTGGTGCTAGTAAGGAAGAAAGATGGAAGCCAACGCTTCTGTGTAGACTATCGCGGACTTAACGAGACAACTATCAAGGATGCGTACCCAGTTCCTCGCATCGACGACACCCTGGATGCACTGTCAGGTGCGAGGTGGTTTTCCACCTTAGACCTCGCATCTGGCTACTGGCAGATCGAGCTCGATGAGGATGCGAAGCAAAAGTCAGCCTTCGTGGTGCGCGGGGGCTTGTACAGCTGGAGGGTCATGCCCTTCGGCTTGTGCAATGCCCCTGCCACCTTCGAAAGGCTGATGGAAAGGGTCGTATCCGGACTACAATGGGAGACTTTACTCGTATACCTCGATGACGTTATCGTGTACGGGAGAAGCGTCATGGAGGAGATACAGCGCCTACGCGAGGTGCTGCAGAGATTTAGATTGGCTGGATTGAAGTTAAAGCCGAAAAAGTGCTTTCTCTTCAAGGAGACCGTGAAATATCTGGGACATGTGGTTTCACCAGCCGGAGTTTCCACTGACCCGGACAAAATCGAGGCTATTAAATCATGGCCTACCCCGACAGATGTGAAGGGAGTGCGAAGTTTCTTAGGACTGGCCTCCTACTATCGCAGATTTATTAAGGGATTTGCAGATGTGGCTCGCCCACTCCACCGGCTCACAGAGAAGTCAAGGGAATTCCTTTGGGATGATAGCTGTGAGGTGGCATTCATGACTCTGAAGAATCACTTACAGGAGGCGCCCATCTTGGCATACCCGGACCCAACAGGTGACTTTGTACTGGACACGGACGCCAGCGGGGAAAGCATCGGAGCAGTCCTGTCGCAGATACAAGAAGGAGAAGAACGGGTAATCGCTTATGCGAGTAGGACTCTTTCCCGTCCTGAAAGAAACTACTGTGTGACTCGCCGAGAGCTTTTGGCAGTCGTCTTCTACCTCAAGCACTTTAAACAGTACTTGTATGGGAGAAAGATTACCATCCGTACTGATCATGCCGCATTACGCTGGCTGGTCAACTTCAAAGACCCGGAAGGACAGGTAGCCCGCTGGCTACAAGTGATTGGAGAGTACAACTATGAGATCATTCACCGCCCAGGCAAGAAACATGGCAATGCGGACGGTTTGTCGCGCAAGCCTTGTAGTCAGTGTGGCCTGGCGGATGATGTTAAG